CCTGGTGGGAGGTGTCCCCTGAGAGAGCTGGTGTTTGTGCCCCCTGGGAGACCTGGCTGCTGTTGGCTGACTCGAGCCAGTCCCAGACGGGGAGTTCAGGCCCAGAGTGAGACTAAGGACTACTCTCAGGTCCCCCAGTCTCCATCTGACCGGTCGCTCCCTGGCCTCTTTGACAGTGATTGTGTGTTTTGTCCACATGCTTTCCAGGACGTTCTAATGGCTTGCCATCTGAGCGGGGCACCATCTGGGTCTCCTGCTCTCCTGGCTGTGCAGCCTGGCCTCCTCGTGGTCCAGGCGTACACTGGACTCACTGCCCCACGTGCCTTCAATTTCCATCACTCTCTCTCCTCCAGACAGATGATGGGGAGATACCGATACTTGACTGACGATGGCCACTCTGTAGTTTTCAGGCCTCAGTTGCCACTCACCCAAGTAGGATGTCGAACTCTGTCTGGGGACTGTGACGCGCTTGCTGTGGGTCCCTGATGCCTCCTGGTTTTCCGTGATGCTCTATATCCACCAGGTTGTCCTTTTCTAGAGACTGGTCTTTGCTGACGACGTGTCCCAAGCACGGGAGGCGAAGTCGCACCATCCTGGAGTCCAAGGAGCACCTGCCATGCTCTTCTGATGTGCCCATCCTTCCGGGTCCTTCTGCCTTCGTTTTCATTGTCCGGCCTCCACACTCAAATGAGCCCATTGAACAGATCACAGCTCCGTCAGACCTGTGTCCTCAGAGGGATGTCAGCGAGGCTGACCAAGCCTCGGGGACACAGACTGACCCCAGACTGGGAGATGCCTTCCCAGAAGGAAGAGGGATATCGACATTGTATTTGAAGTTTGGTGCTCTCAGCTGGAAGGCAGAAAGAAGTCTTAGCACAGGACCCAGGAGACCCGAGGGCTTGGATGCTGGGGCAGGTGGGAGGCCAGGGTGTGTGTGGCCCTTACATCGTCTCCCGTCAACTTGTGAAGGGGTGGAGTTTTGCTTGTCAATTAGGTCGCAGCTTGATGACCTCATTTGGAAGGCACCTGGAGATAAATAGCTCACTGGAGGTCAGATATAGGCTCACTCCCTGCAAGACATTCCTGTTGACAAGCCACATGGAGCTATGCTGAGGGCAGCCAGAGCCTTGGAGCTGGAGGAACCATGTGGAGACCCACGCCAGCACTGAGATGCTTCCACAGCTACTGGATACACAAGACTTTCCACCCACTGGCCTGTGATCTTCCTGCGTTTGGTGTCATTGCATGTGTTGTGTGAGTCTGAAGAGGGATTTACAGACTAGTATTGGACATATGGGCTAATATCAGACTTAAGGACTTTATCTGGCCTGGGATGTTTTCTTAATATACAATTACTCTATATAAAGCTTTCTTACACACATGAGTGTCTATGAATTTGTTTCTCTAAGTCAACCCAGACTAACACAGGTGGGTGCTTGGGGAGGAGGGGCAGCTGAATCAGAGGTAGGGAGAGCCAGAATGGGTGCCTCACGGAGGCTTCAATTTTACCACCTCAGAGAGGGACAAATGGCAAAACTGCTGCTTGGGGTCTGGGGGCCCCTCAGCCCTAAGCAGGTCAGGAAGGCTCTGACCTAGCCAAGGGTCACAGGAGGTCAAGGCCAGGAGCACCTGAGCAGAGGGCAGGCTGGGGTGGTGAGGGCGGAGATTGTACAGAGACAGAGGGCTGGGGCTGAGGGGGGAGGTGCACACAGGTATTGGCAGCACAGAGTGGGTGTCTGGGGCTCATCCACCCCCACGCCTTCCCATCCTCCGTGCCAGCCCCAGGGGCCATCCTGGAGCCCCTGCCTGAGCGGGTTGATGTTCCTGCAGGGCTGGTGACAGTGCACAAGACAGATCAGAAAACTGGACCGTCAGTGGTGGCCTTCACTCCCCAGGCTGCCTGTGGCAGGTCACTGCAGGTCGTGGCCCGGCTGTGTAGGACTGGAGTTCTCCCGCTGCAGGGGCAAGGCTCTGCATCGGGGGCTTAGGGCCTGGGCCCCCTGGTGGTGGTGGTGTCCCTGAGAGAGCTGGTGGTAGCCCCCTTGACCAGTGCCTTGGTCCCGTGTCCCTGCCTCTCCAATATGTGCTCTTTGACTCATAGTGATGGGGGTGGGGGTGGAGTGGGACCTGTCCACACAGACAGGGTCACAACCCAAACACACTTGAGATTTTGCATTTAGAGCCAGAGGGGCTGGGGCTCCAGCTGCTTTTTTAAGGTAGGGAGTGGGCACAATTCAATGCATCACAGTGGACAGTAGTGGTACCTGCTCAGGAGGAAAAGCCTCACAGGGGCTGGGCAGAGTGGGGAGGCACAGGATTGGGCCAGCGCCACTCGCTGTGGACACATGCAGAAAGGACCTGAGTGGGTGGGGAGAGGGACTGGGGAGCAGGACCCCAGGCAGGGGGACCAGCCAGGGAGACATCTCTGAGTGGAGGGGCACAGGGGGTGAGTGAGGAGGCCCAGGTAGTGGAGAGAAAGGGGTTGGAACAGAGAAGTGGGGTGCTGTCCATGGGGTAGTGTTGAGACAGAGAGCCCAGTTCTCAGAGAGCCACAAGTAGAGGTGAGGATGGAAGGGGGCAGTTCAAGTGTGGCCAGCTGACCATGACCCTTAACCCTGAGTTACAGATGGATGGATGTAGGGGAGGGGCTGCTGGGGGGTGGGCAGGCAGCCCTAGACCTTGTGGTGAGTGAATGAATGAAGATTCCCCTCCTCTGCCCCCCTAGACTGCTTGGGCTGGCCGATGTGCTGAGGATGGTGGAGGCTTTCCTTACTCGGGTGGCTGGGCTGCCCAGGGAATCCGCCTGGCCACACTGTCCCTGACCAGCCCTCAGCAGGACCTACTCCCACTGGACCCCCCACCCCCACCCAAGGCAGAACCAACCACCCTCTGCTTCTGCTGTGGGTGCCTTCAGGCTAGAAGCTCCCCAGGGTGCCAGGCCCCACTGCCTAGGGCCAAGTCTGGCCAGCCTGTGCCTGTTTTCTCACAGTGGGTAGAGTGGGTGTGGGTGAAGGACGGCCGGGGGACACGTGGGGAAGGTCCATGTCCCCTTTGAGATGATAGGGGACATCCCTCTCCTCAGTTCCTAATGGAGTGAGGGCCTATTGAGTCTGGCTGTGGTGCTCGGCTGGACCTCACAGGTCACCCAGTGCAGGGGGCTGGCAGTGTCGACTGACCACTAGCACTTAGAGTAAAAACCACAGGTCTCCCCTCCTCTGCATCCCTGCCCCCCGTGGGTCTCCACACCACTCCAGAGAGGAGTGATTCCCGGGGACCTTGCTGATACTGGTCAGGCGAGATCTGGCCCTGTCCCAGCCATCTTCATGAGTGTTGCCCCGGCTCCTGAGCAGCCCCTGCACCAGGCCAGGCCAGGCCAGGCCACCTGGCTCAGGGACACACTTGCTGCCAGGAATCCTCTACTCAACAAGGGGAGCTTTTCTGGTGGTGCAGCCCTTCAGGTTTCCATTGGCTCACTTTCTGAAGCAGGCTGTCAGGCCTTTCTTCCTAGTCTCGGCCTGGAAGCCCTGCTGAAACCCATCCACCACGGGTAACCTGGCTGGGATTCGGAAAACCGGTGCTGTAGCTTCCAACGGCATGCAGGCTGCGGGAGGGGGGGGGGGGCAACTGACAGGGAGGGCGTGGAGGAATGCGCTGGTTCTCCAGACCGCTCTCGAGAAATAGGTACAGATGCCTAGGGCCCTCCCTAACCCACCGTGTCAAGGCCCTCTCTGCCCTACTGTCCACTTATCCAGGGGTTCATGTGGTCACTTCACTGGCCACGTCTACCCGGTGCCCATTCTTCCGGTCCACAGGAGTAAGCATCACCAAGTGGAACTGCCAACAGCGGGAACGATGGCCACGTGACTGGTTGACCGGCTGCCTATGAAGGTCAGGGATGCCTCCCTAGCTCTCAAATGGCTGGTCGCAGGGCCCTCCCCTTCATTTAGAGACTGGTTGGGGGAGGGGGCTGTTCCATCCTATCCACTCAGTCTCTTGTGGATCCAGCAGCCCAGGACAGCCAGGGGTCACCCAGCAGTAAGGTGGGACAGTGTGGGGGCCCAGGGCCTGAGCTGTCCAGCACAGGGGGTGATCGCCCTGGCTCCCTACCCCTGAAATATTGCTGTCTGAAGGTTTGTGGGGGGGCTGGGCCGGGGCGGGGGTGCAAGCTGGCCATTAACGGCGCTGGAGGGCTCTGCTCCATGTGATGCCTGGTGCTTCTCTCTCCCTTGGCCTAGATTTCCCAGGGGACAGCTTCGACCTCCGCTGCATGCGTGCTTGCTAAATTAAATGTTAAAAAACGCCACAGTAGCTTTAATCAATTGAGCGAGGTGGCATTGGTCTCCTCCCAGAAGCCCCGACCTATTGGAGCGCCCCCCCTCTCCTCCTGCCCTTCCCCCCCTTGCAAAACTGGGGTCTTGGAAGAGTCAGGATGGGTGGAAGGGGGTGGGTAGTCTTCCTCATCTCCAGGGCCGACAGAAATGGGTTGGCGGAGGCAGGGATGGGGTGGGGTCCGGCGGTGATGGCCGTCCTATGGCCCACAGATAAGGAGGTGTTTATGAGGATCCTCGGAGACCAATGGAGACGCTATGCTGCGCGCGCGCACACGCGCGCGCAGCAAAGGCAATGTCCGCTAGTGGCCACTGGGGGGAGCCCCACGCCCCGCCGTCAGTTCCTGGCTTTCCCGCCCACCCCACCAGGGAGCAGGGGAGGGCCTCCCGTGGCGCGTTGCCTTTGGAGTCCAGCTCTGGGACGCAGTGCGCTCACGTCCCCACTCACGGCTCAGGGCCGGGCTCCTCAGGCGTCCATACGCTAGGCTGGGGACAACACACAGTAGGACGTTTGTGTCCTCACTGGACGCCGGACTCACACAGTGATTTCATGCGGGTTTAATCTGGACCCTGGAATGTCCAAGAGGTCCCGGAGGTCCGGGCTAGCGGTGGCCGCTAGTGCAGGCAGAATCAGGGCTCTGAACTGGGGGTCCTGGAGCGAGTCCGCTTCCCATGCGCTCAGGTTCTGGCGGTGAGACTTGGCAGTCCACCGCCGAGGTGCCGAAGAATGAGCGGGTGGGGTGTGGCGCGGGGGCATCAGACTCTCCAGGGGACTCTACAATGAGATTCCCAGCACGGATTGGAGGAAAACGGCTGCCACACGTTCCCTGCCGGCTGAGGTTTGGCGGAGTTTCGCTCAGCCTCGCTGTCCCCTCCTTGCGCTCCGGCCAGGTCTTGCCTCCCCGACCCGCCAAGGGGGAGGGACCCTCACCCTCCGCCCTCTGCCTCGGTTCCCGGGACCTAGGCGCGCTCCCGGGCGCGCAG